ATTACGCATATAGTTATTAAATAGAAACATTTAATATTAAATAAAATAAGTAGAATGTGTATGATAATGAAAACGTGCTAGAATTTTCCATGGAGCACGTGTCAAAGTATGGTCGACATATAAAACGATAAAAAAACGATAAAAAACGAAGATAATTGACAGTAGTCGTTTAGTTAATAATTCATTTTTCGTTATAATAGAATGGAATGATATCTTTTATGTCTAAAATAAAAATATCCTGTTTCAAAATTGCCACGATGACACTGACGTAATTGTCTAACAGTCAAACAAACTATATCTGGATACTCTAGCAGCAAATTACCAATCTTGCTTAAAATAAGAATTTTATATATCAGCACCTGCACTCGTATTACGTTTTATTTTTGCTATATGTTCACTACGCAAATAAATCAAAAGTAACACAACGACTACGTATAAGAGAAGTTCATAAAGTAAACGAAAAAATCATTCAGGTCCAATTAACAAATTTTTTCCTGGGTTAATTTTATTAGTAATCATAAGAAAAGTATTTTAACATTTATATTTTGTAAAAGCTTTGAGAAATAGAAAAATTAGAATTTACAATGGAATGACTTGAGTACCTAACACGTTAGAGCTTATTTCATGATTCATTTATTCTGAATTTTAATCTTTCTATTAAAATTATGTTGGCTTGAATAGAATAATTTAATTTTATTGAAAAATTTAAAGCTTTTTATTAATGAAAATGTAATAACAGAGTGTCAAGTCAACGAAGGTCATGTTATGTAACGTTGGTTTTGTACTTGAATTGAACAACTGAAGGGCATCACGAAAATACAAGGAACTTTTCATTCCTCTTAGTTATTGAATTTCTAAGCTTCATGTCTCAATTACACACGTTGTAAGCGCCATAGATGTATATTAAAATTCGTAACTGAATGATTTAATAATTCGTACAATTTTTTAAGATTTTCGGAAACAATATTAGTTTAAGCAAAACCATGAAAAGTGATTAATAGTTTAGAACAATTAAAAAAAAAGAAAATCAAACTTACTTAATCTGACTAGCACTCGTGCGAGTAAAATCGCAGACGTCTGTAGCCTGCCCGTGAATAGATGCTTTGATCGAAGTGTAACTACTGATTTTCTCAGAGCTTGAATTCGGGGTATTTCAATGGCTGACGCAACAGTTCATGAGAACTATGAAATGTTTTTCCAGAGGGCGTTCAAGTAAAATATAGTTGAATTATATCTACTACTTATACCGTAATTTTTGTAAAATTTGTATTTAAAATATAATTTTATGATATAATGTGGGATAAATGTATTAATGTTCTAAATTCATATATATTTGAGTTCTGTTTTCTTCAATTATAAAGATATATTGCAATTTACATGCACAAGACAATATCGCATGAAATTGTACCACTAACGCCTCTATTGACAATTCATACGTACTAAACTGAATTGACAACGATTTAAACCGTCTAGCAATATAAAGTAACCATAGCCGTTAACTTAAATGTGTAAGTATATAAGTTGGGAAAGCATTAAACACGAAATAATTGTTTAGTCTTTTCTATTACAAGTGAAGGGAGAAAAGTCATGGTAAATGTCACTAAAGGACTTTTAGTTGAATGGTATGTACACCAAGTAAAAATGACTTCTATTCTTTTTACTCTTTATAATCTAAATCACTAGGAATGTTAAACTGTTTATTAAGACATTCTTGGGATATGTCAAATTTATTTTTGCACCAACTTTGTATAGCAAAAATATTATCTGTCCATGTATTGGTAACTTCTTTATATTCCTAAAAGATAAAGTATTTGTATTTGATGTAAATTTAAAATTTAATCATGGTATACCTGTGCCCTTTTTTCAATTTTAGCTATAGCTTCTGGATCAGTATCACTGAATTTAGCAATTTGTAATTTCAATTGATTCTCTTTAACTCTTAATTCTTCCAATTCC